GTTTTGTAACATGGGTAGAAATATGTTTTATTATTATAATATTATTATATTATAAAATCTTTATATTCATTTATTGAACTGTAACGTCTATTTTACCCATCACGATCTACTCGTAAGTCCGAACTTAACAAAACTTATATCGTTGACTACCATTTTACGAGACATATCCAAAAATTTAATTTTTAAATAAAATGGTCAACTTTACAAATAGTTCATATTTTTAATTTGAGTAATAAAATATTATATTTGTTTTTATTAAAATAATAGCTAACTACTAAGCCGGTTTTCAGGGCGTTATAATTATACTTTGACATGATGTCGATAGTATTAAAAAATGGGGCTAGAAATATATGTTGGAGTTGGTGCCCTTATGGCCAACTGCTGTTGTAATATCTTAGATATTTTCTATCATGTAAAGGCAGATGCATTAAGTTTACAAACATCTCATTCTAATGTAAACTCTTAATTGCATTCATAGAATTATATTATGAGATGTTTATCAGAATGAGTCTTCTGATGTTGAGACTGTATAATTCTGAACGGTCTATAGTCGAAGCATTAACGAGAGTGGGATATCGTTAGTGCGCGTGAGACTAGTGAGAGTTAGATGTTTGACCTAGTCTCTTGGTCAATGACAGAGTGTTCGCATCTACTCTCGGGCAGATATTATCGTTAATAATAGGATGCCAAACCTGACCCACCTTAAGGGCATTGCCTAGACTTTTAGTCTATGCTCTAAGTGTCCTTAATGCGACTATTGGTATAACGATCCTCAGACTTGAAGTATTACGTTCTTCGAATGTGTGAACCCGCATGTTTTGATTCATTGTCCTAAGCCGTATGAAATAAGGATGGTACACAGACTTTGTATTGGGCATGCCGCTGCGCATATTCGAAGACGTAGATTACGTACAAAGAATTTGTCATTGCTACTCAAGCAGAATAATGTCTTGTAGGGGCCCACTGATAAGTATGACTGAGGAAATGCATGGCCATGCTGAGATGAGTTTAGACATCTGTTCTCATCAGTCAGACTTGTTAATCAGTAAATAACTTAATGGCTACAAGTTGGATATTTTATATCCCTTGCACTAAGTTAAGACATTGCGACAAAAGGATCTACGTTATACAAAGTCTTAGTCGTAGAAAGGTTTTGACGGAGCAAACGTCTGAACTTATAATCTGGGGGTAATAATGTGTTGCTAGATACCGCTTATTACTTATAGTATTGGTGTAGAGTCAATACCGTGACCAGTTTTATAAGTGCCTATATGGGTCACACACTTTGAACAATTTAAAGAGTATGATTATAAGAAGGGATAATATTTAATTTGTATATTGTAAAATAGTAAAGTAAAATGTTTTATCCTCCCTTATACTATAAGGGCCTATGACGTTTGTTGCCGTTACTTTGGCATTTTTTCCGTCACTTTAATACGGCCCTTGCGCACCCTTATATCTACCCTTATATAATCCCTTATACTATAAGGGCCTATGACGTTTGTTGCCGTTACTTTGGCATTTTTTCCGTCACTTTAATACGGCCCTTGCGCACCCTTATATCTACCCTTATATAATAAGAGACTACTTTTCCGTCTACTTTTTCGTTTGGATTAATGACTTTCTTTCTACGGGGATGTGATAGGGATACATGTAGAGTTCTTTTGTCCACAAAAAATTATCACAACTCCCCCCCTCCCCAGACAAAAAAATATCACCACCACTCGGTGGTTTTGACAATTGAGTCTTGACAACTCCAATTTGGGTCATGCTAGGGGTACACCAAAGGTGTACCCCATTTGTACACCACCCCTTCAATAACAATTCATTTATTTTTGATTTTTATTTACTTATTTTTTTTTAATTTTCTTGCCTAATTGAATGGTAATGGAGGGGGTGGGGGAGAAATGGGGTACACCTTTGGTGTACCCTTAACATTTTCCCTCCAATTTTCATCTATTTGCAAGTTTTTATTTAGAAAAGGAATTTTCATAGCTGCTCCTATAATCGTTGCTCTTATCATTGCTGCTCGCTGCTTCTATTTATTGGTTCCCAGCACGGTTAGTCACGAATTTGTCTTCCTATTTTTTATGCCATCTTCGATTATTTCTTTCTCAAATTTTAGAGAATTTTCATTATTGGTGTTTTCAAATTGTTTTTTTTTCTAGATTTAGGAGTTTCAAATTGAGATAGATTCAAGCTTCAGTTTTATTTTCAAATAAAGTTAAAGCTTCAATTCATATTTGCATGTGATTTTCTTTTACTTTGTGCTTGTTTTTGGAGATATCATTCTCTTGATCTAACTTAAGTTCACTTAGTTTCATATCTTGGTATAATAGGTCTGCAATTTTCAGTTTTAAAATATTTTTTTAGTTGAAAAATACTCCCTCCGTTTCTTAAAATTCTTCCTCTTTCATTTTTTTTTGTTTTTCTTAAAACACTTCTCCCTTTCCATTAAAAAAACCACTTTTACTCCTACTTTTTCATACCCTACCTATCACATCATACTTTTTCACTAACAACTAAACTATCACATCTTACTTTTACTCATCACATCAATGGCAAAATTGGAAAGTCAACTACAATTTAACACTTCCTTATTTTCCCCCAAAGTCAAAAGAGGAACTCTTTTGAGAAACGGAGGTAGTATACAGTAACTTTGGTAAAAATTCATGTAGCGATGGTACCGAGGTTAGGGTTTAGAATTCATTTTAGAAATCTACTTGATACAATTGATAATAATTTGTCTTATTGAATATTGAGAGATATGTTCCTATATATAGGGATTACAAGAGAGAGTCATATTCCTAGTAGGAAAGGAATAAAGTAATTATGGTAATACAAGAATAAGGAAACTAAATAATATTAGGAGTCTTCCTATTATCCCCCCGCAAGCTGATCAACGGATATGAGGGGCAGCTTGGAACACAAATAATGGAACGGAGTCGGCGGAAGCGGTTTTGTCAAGATGTCAGCAAGCTGCTCAGAAGAAGGAACATGATGTGTAGTCATAGTGCCAGCCATAACCTCGTCTCGAACAAAGTGACAGTCAGAGCCAACATGCTTCATGCGATCATGGAGAACGGGATTCTTGGTGACACAGATTGTGGACTCATNCCGGGCTGAACGTCTCTTTATAATCGATGCCATACTCTTGATGGTACCCTTTGGCCACTAGACGAGCCTTGTACCGAGAGACGGAGCCATCCGGATTCCGTTTTATGCGATACACCCACTTGCAACCAATAGGATCTCGGCCCTTGGGTAGGGGCACCAAATCCCATGTGCGCTGTTCATTCAGAGCTGCAAATTCTTCATCCATGGCATGACACCAATAGCTATTCTTGAAGGCTTGGTGATAGGTGTGAGGTTCAGAGGTAGGAGGAGAGGTATCAGTGGTGGTAGCAGAATAGGTTTTAGGCTTGAAAATGCCTGATTTGGCACGGGTTTGCATGGGATGGGCATTTGTTGTGGGGATGAGTGCTGTCGACGGTCGACCGTGTGGGGGTGGACGGGTAATAGTATCGACCGTCTGTAGAGACTCAGAGAGGGGTTGGGAGGACGGTCGACCGTGGGGTGGGGAACGGTCCATGTGGTGAACCGTATGTAGAGGTTCAGAACGGGTGTGAGGAGACGGTCGACCGTGGGTAGATGTATGAGGGGAACGGTCGACCGTTTGTGGAGCAGTAGCAGACGGAACGATTTGAGAACTGTGCGGTGCCGGACCCTGTGAGCCTGGTCTGGGAGGAAAGATGGGAATGATGCCTAAAGGGTTAGAGGAGGTTGGGGTAGATAAAACTTTGGAGTAGGGAAACTGATCTTCTACAAAACGAACATGACGGGAGACATACGTTTTCTGAGAAATAGGATCATAACACTTGTAACCTTTCATGGTGGGATGATAACCTAGGAAAATGCAGGGGGTGGAACGTGGTTGAAGCTTGTGATGTGTGTGAGGACGAAGCCAGGGATACACAAGACAACCAAAAGGACGAAGGTGAACATAATCCGGAGACCGACCATAGAGGGCTTCAAAGGGGCATTGGTTATTTAGGGTGGATGTGGGTAGGCGATTTATAAGGTAGTTGGCGGTAGCAAGTGCTTCAACCCAAAAGGAGACAGGAAGGTGGGAATCGTAGAGTAAAGCAATGACAGTCTCAATGAGATGCCGATGCTTGCGTTCAGCCACACCATTCTGTTCAGGAGTGTAAGGGCAGGACGTGTGATGCAGAATCCCAAGATTTTGAAGAAAAATGCCAAAGGCTGTATTTACAAATTCTTTCCCATTATCACTTCTAAAAATCTGAATATTTGAATTAAATTGAGTTTTAACCATTTTTTCAAAACTAGTGAAAACA